GGAACTTCTTCTCAAACAGCCTTGCATATTTTGTGAAGAGAGAAAAGCAAAGTTTCCGAAACTCTCATTAGGAGAGGAATGCCAAATGGAATCTTACGGTATCGTTAATTGCAACACAAGAACGGGGCCGGATTCATTAACACTAATTGAAGAAAATAATAAGTTGTCCATCTTCCTTTCGATTGTATGAGAGAGAGAGAAAGAGAGATAATACAGAATGAGAAGAGGTAGAGAGAGAGAGAGAGAGATAATACAGAATGAGAAGAGTATATATATAGAGAGAGAGAGAGAGAGAAATACAGATGAGAAGAGGTATATATATATATAGAGAGAGAGAGAGAAATATATATATTCATGTTTTGCGTGGGCAGGTTTCTTCCGCTGAAGTGGTGTATGTGTGCATGTGCCCCCATGCTGTACACGAGTTAAAGGTGCAGGTCGAGGGACACGGGCGTGGAGTGACGTAGGGCGGCCGGAGCATTGGGGTGGGGATGGGGGGGGGGGTGAGGAAAGAACCATGGAATAAGAAGCTTCGGGAAGGGATAAATGTGGCATGGAATTAAAGGAAGAGTGTGTGGGGGGGTGAAAGAAATAGAGAAGGAAGGAGAAAAAAAAGAGGAGAGAGAGGAAGAGCAAAGGAGAGGCAAAGAAAAGAGTCAGGGGAAAGGAGATAAAAGGAGAAAGATGGATGTGACGAGCAATTAACTTTCACGGCAGATGAACTGCAGAGATTCGCCACGACGCGACGGGGCGACATGTCCGAGCAGAGAGACACAAAGTTTTCCGCATAAAACCTTGCACTCGAAATGTATATATCAACAAGAACGGAAGGATTTAAACCAGTAATGTTACAGCCTAATACATATGCAAGATGCCTCGCTCGGGCAAGAGTTCACCCAGTACATCCCCGGGAGATATTAGATCCCGTTTGCATTCCAGCGACATCGACTAACCATTATGTTTTTTTTTTTTTATCTTTTTATAGTTGTGGAGTTCAGAGCAAGGGGGGTGTGTGGGTGTGGGTGTGGGGGTGGGGGGGGAGGGGGAGAGGGGAGACACACCGCCTGGAATATCGAGTGATTTTCGACGCCTACGATAATGGGAATGGGAATGATGTTGGGGTCTTCGCTGGAATGCAAACCACAATGCGGAAGGGCCCGGAGAGTTGGCGTCGGCGATAATGATTGGCTGTTGGGCGCGTGTCGGTGGGGGAGGGGGAGGGGGAGGGGGGAGGGAGGAATCGAAGTGCTTGCCCAGGGGTTTTAGCATGGCACGCCGGGCTCATGGTGCCACGGAGGGGAGGGGTGGGGGTGCCAGAGGGGGGTAAGGGCGAAGGGGGGTGATAGAGAGGACGGGAGAGAATACGATGTGAGCGATGCAGATAACACGCTCTGGAAACAAGCCAACGCCGCCGTCAGATTCAGCTGATGACGTCACGAGCAGGACCAAAACACGGCCGGCGCCCCTGGTTGACCCCGTGTTCCCGACTGGACGCTGGCCGGGTCAAGAAAAGGTCATTTGTCTTCTTTGCCCCTTTCTCGCGTCTCTTTTAGTCTGGATCTTTCTCTCTTCTTTTCTTTTTCTTTAATTTCCTTTGGCTCATTTCTCACATTCTATTTACCTTCTTTTTCGTCTTCATTTCCTTTGGCTCATTTCTCTCACTTTTTCTTTCATTTGCTGTCTCATTTCTCACACTCTTCTTTACTTTCTTTTTCGCTTTCATTTCCTTTGGTTCATTTCTCTCGCTTTCTTTTTCTTTCATTTGCTTTCTCATTCTCTCTCATTACATTTGTTACAACGATCTGACATGCACTCGGAAACAAAAACAGGAATGGGTCAGCAATTACTGTTATTTTCTTTTCCTTAGGCCTATCGGATCAGCTGCTTGTGGGTTCGATCGGTCAGGTGCAGTGATCAGCCGCTCGGGGGATTAACAGTCCATCAACCTAATCCAGATGGCTGAGATTAGCCAGTCGTTTGGCGAATAGATTGAGTCAGCTGACGAGGATTTGCCCACTAAGGGGGGTTACGTTCGTGTGATCCTATATTGGCCCGAAGGTCGACCTCAACATGGATAGGAGTGGGGTGGGGTGGTGGTAGGGGTAGGGGTAATGGGAATGGTGGTAGGGGTAATGGGAGGGGTGTAGGGTAGGGTGAGGGGTGGAGTGGTAGGGGTTGGGGTAGGGGAGGTGTGGTAGGGGAGGTGGTAGGGATAGGGTAATGGGTGGGGGTAGGGTAGGGGTAATGGGAGGGATGGTAGGGGTAGGGGTAGGGATGGGGTAGGGTAGGGGTAGTGGTGGTAGGGAGGGGGGAGGGGTTTATAAGGGTGGGTTAAAGGGATTACAGGGATGTGAAAGGAGGCTGTGGGTTTAAAGGGGTGTTATTGTATTGATTGTTATAAAGGGATAGGGGGATAGGGAGTAGGGGAAGACGGGGATCTGATAGATGGGAGTGTCAACAAGATGGGTAGGGAGAGGATTTGTTCGAGGGGGGGGGGGGGGGGGGTCGAAGAATCCTTGCGTATGGGTACGAGGATGTATGCAAGGAGTAGTAGTGGGTGGGAGGGGGAAGAGTGCAGAGGAAAGAGGATAAAGATGAGGCGAGGAGGATGAAAAGGGCGAGAATGAGGATGAGGACGAATAGGAGGATAAAGATACGAGAATGAGGATGGGGACGAGGAGAAGGAAAAGGACGAGGTGGTGGAGGATGAAGAGGGCGATGAGGAGGAGGAGGAGGAGGAAGAAGTAAAAGAAATTGAAGTGAAGACGACGGAGGAGCAGGCGGAGGTGGAGGAAGAGGAAGAGGATGTGGTGATGACTGGCAACCGTTTTTTTTTCATGTCATTACGTCATTCCTTCCTTTTAATTTTTGGCAGAATTGTGGAGCAAGTTGTTTATTAACTTCCATTTTTTTTTTCTTATTTTATTAACACTACATGAATAGAAAGGGGAGTTGGGCTGAGAGTATATTTCATTCACACTAATTTACACTGGATGTACAGAGAGTGGAGTTCTTAGTCTACTTTTTTTCTGAATGAATTGACACTCACGACCCCGCTGACAGGAAGTGTTTATCTCGTGGGAAAACAACAACAAAAAAGATTACTTGGCATCCTCCGCGTTACCGACACGTGCGGATCGAATCACTGTTTCCGGTGCATGAAGAAAAGAAGGAATAAATATGATAATTATAAAAGAAGGCACGAGAGATAACGGAGAGGCGACGGTCCTCTAAATAGCGCTTAAATAACGTTGCCTCGAGCGTCTGAGGGAAGGCAAAAGGCCCGAGGGAAGAGGAGGAACCCGCTGTACTAGGAGACCACAGGAGACGAGGGAAGAGGAGGAAATTGAGGGGAAGCAAGGGCGGAGAAGGGAGAGAGAGAGGCCGTTGAGGGAGAGGGAAGTGTCGATGAGGAAGGAAGATATGCAGGGGAAAGAGGGAGGGGGGGGAGGTGGCAGCGTCGAAGGGGAAGCTGAGGGAAGGGGAGGGGGAGGGGCTAGACTGGCACTGTGCCAACACGGAAAATGTCGCCCGCTGCCCACCGCACAATAGGTGAAGGGGAAACTACATGGATGGACGGGAATATAAGACGAAGGGGAAGGGAAGAGGGATAGGGAGAAATGAGAGAGGCGAAGACGAGGGAGAGGGAAGAAGAAAAGAGAGAGAGAAAGAGAGAGAGTGAGTGAGTGAAATGATAAGTAAATAACGCTCCAGATGAGATAAAAGAGAGAGAGAGAACAAAGGAAGAACCTGTACATTGTAAGATTCCTTTCGAAAATGGAATATGAAAATGTGACTGCAGGAATTGAGGCAAAATTGGAAGAGGTTCTCTTTCGCAGCTGAACGTGACACAGGCAAGAGATCACTGGAACGTTCCGGGAGTTAAGGGGACAAGATCCATTAGGGTCGGTCGGTTTCTCTCTCTTTCTCTTTCTCTTTCTCTCTTTCTTTCTCTCTCTTTCTTTTTCTCTCTTTCTTTCTCTCTCTTCTCTTTCTCTTTCTCTCTTTCTCTTTCTTTCTCTCTCTCTTCTCTCTTTCTTTCTCTCTCTCTTCCTCTCTTTCTTCCTCTCTCTCTCTTTCTTTCTTCCTATCTTCCTCTCTCCCTCTCTCCCTATTTAGTACGCATACATTTTCCCATCCACCCTTTTCGTCGTTCTGCGTTTATTACCCCATAAGAGTTGTGTGGCAGACCATGTTGGGTGTTGTCCTCGTATGCAAGGCCATCTCCCAAGGCACTTTCCCAGCTGAGGACCCGTCTGGCGAAGCGGAACGGCGAGGGTGGGGGAGGGGGGAAGTGGAGGGTGGGGGGAAGTGGAGGGTGGGGTGTGGGGTGAGGGGAAGTGGAGGGTGAGGGGGAAGTGGAGGGTGTGGGTGGGTGAGGGTGGAGGGTGGGGGTTGAGTGAGAGGTTAGGGGAGAAGAAGGGGATGGAAGAGAGGAGGAGAGGGAAAAGGAGGATTGAGAAGAGGGAGAGGGAAAGTTAAAGAGTTTGAGCAGATGAACGAGGGGGAGATAGAGAATGAGAGCTAATGACTTGGGAAAAGGAGCAAGAACAGAAAAGAAAAAAAAACTGGAACGGGAGCAAAGGGGCTAAGACACGAAGCGACACGCCAGAGCAAGACAGCGCCACGGCAAGACAAGACGAGGCGAGCGATCCCCGGGTATTGACGGGCGTGCCATGTCTATGACAGATTCGTGCCGGCGCGATGAACCAAACACGAGGCGTGGGTGCGTAAGTATGCCCGGTGTGCCAGAATGCCCTCCGTGCGTGGGTGTGCGTGCGTGGGCGTGCGTGCGGGGCCTGCAGGCATCCGCGGGGGACCTCAACACCCTTTGCAGTGAGCCGAAGTGGGCGTGTCGTTCCCCCTCGCTGCATGACGGCGGGCTGGGCGTCGCGCCTCTGGCAACCCGCGCCTTCCCTCTATTTCAGCCGAGGTGTACGATAACGTGATATTCTCGAAGGAGGTGCCATGGGGTGTCTCGGGGCGTCCTGTGAGGAGGA